CCGAGCAGTGAGTGGGGCTTTGTCCAGTGTGGGTTGGACAAGGCTCAAGCAGCTCAGAGGCCGGCCTGTCACAGCAGTGAAGGGAGGGGACGCTCAGGACTACAGGGCACCTGGGGCTGAGCACAGGGACATCACTCGGCCTCCAAATCATAACCTCCCTCATCATCTCGGAAGCACCCAGGCTGCGATGACTAAGGGGTGTCCTCCTACCCTGCTCGGAGTTCATCTTGCATTTGCAAATTCCCTTCTAAGCAGGGCCTTGCTCTTGCCAATTAAATCCGATCTTAACACCCCCGTCCATCCCCCACACCCCACGCTCCCTGAAGGATAAAGTCCAAGCTCCAGAGCCTGGCATGCATAAGCCCTGGCCCTCTGGCCCTTCCACCCCCTCTCCAACCCTGCTGACACCTGCAGACATCGCCACACACGCTACCAGGCAGTGCATCTGCCTCATGAACAGGCCTGTCCCCCTCCCTCTCTGCTCCCAGCTGCCCAGCAGAGCCACGTCCTCCCTCCACTGGCTCACTGGGACACCCTGTGCAAGGCTGGCCCAGCACAAGGCCAGCATCCTGCATGTGCTTCCACCTAACACATACTTAGGCACGTTTCCAACGTACCAGGCACTGTGGGCGGCGATGGGACCCCCAGCTGCTGGAAGCAGACTCAGTCCCCGCTCCAGTGAAAGGACAGACAAATGGCACGAAGGAAAAGCACAAAGCTAGGAGGGCCTAGGACAAGTGGTCAGATAATCAGGGAAGACATTCCTCGGGGAAGGGGCACTGAGATGAAGGAATGGCTTGTGCAAAGGCACTGGGGTGGACGTGAGTCAGAGCCTGAGCAGCTGCTGTGCAGAGTGGCAGGGGGCACGTGGCAGGGAAGGGGCGGATGGGGCACAATGAGGCTGGGCAGGGGCAGCCGCCAGATCACTGGGGCCCCATGGGCCATGTTAGCAATCTAAGTCTTCAGTGTCACTACAATGAGAACTTGTGGGACGGTTTTATGCCAGGCTCTGCATTGATCAGATCTGCATTTTTCCTAACTCATCACTCAGGGCTATGAGGGCAGCTTGAGCTTTGCCCGCCGGCCTCCCCTGCTGGCTGGGAGCCCACGGGCACCTGCCCAGCAAACAGTGTGCTGCTGCAGAGGGAGCTGTCCCTGTAGAACATGTGCAGACTGGGGGTCCAGGGAATATATGGGGCAAGTTATGGTCCTTCTGGCTAATCAAGACAGTGCAGACTGAAACCTCCTTCTTAGTTCTAAGCTCACTCTGGGAAAACCCCAGGAAGATCCGCCGAGGCAGCTCCATACACCCCATGGATCACAATCACTGTAACCCTTCGGGGGCAATTCGGAGGCTGGCAGGGGCAGCAGAAGGGCCAGTGCCCCCCACCCTGCGAGAAGGCTCACACTGCTCTCCTCAGGAAGCCGCTCGACAGGCCAGAGGCCCTTGGGGTCCCTGAACATGGGGCAGGGACCCACCCACCACGCCAGCCCCCTCACCTACGAGAGCAGGGTCTGTACACCGATAACCACATCTCAGACGGAGCCATGGTGGCACCAGGCTGCTGGCTGCGCCTGAACCTTGGAACAGAAAAACAACGGAATCATCCCAACTGAGTCTCCACGCCAAGCCGTTCTGAGGCTGATCCAAAAAAAAAAACAGCCCACAAACAAACTTGGGGTAGTGGTGAATGTTTCTATGACAACCAGCTTTAACGTTCTGCAATAGGCCCCCAGCCCCACCCGCCGGCCCCACCAGGGCAGCCAGAAGCGCTGCCTCCGGGTGCTGGGAATTCCTGTCCTCCCTGGGGCCAGAGGCTTAATGGAAGCAGCCCACGGCCAGTGCTTTAGGGCTGTCAGGAACAGCTCAGAAACTCACTTTCTCCACCCACCCAGCCCCAAAATACTTCCTCCAGGGATCGGAACATTGCCTTTGAAGAAGGCCCTTCAAGCAGAGCCCCTTCTGGGGCCAACAAGCTCTCCTCTGTTGCACTGCTCACAGATGTGGGAACCCAGGCCCGGGCTCTGCCTCCCGCCTCTGGCTGCAGCACCCCTGCCCTGCCCAGTCCCCAGGCCACATCCATGCCCCCTTGCTAAAGTCTGGAGAATAAAAATTAGAACAAGCATCTGAAGACAAAAGGCACAACCAAGGTGAGGTGTCAGCCTCCCTCAGGCTGCGTGGTCTGGCTCAGAACTTGCATCTCTCCCACCTTATGGCAGGGGCACTAGCCGGTGGGCGCCGGCAGCATGGGCTGGTGTCCCTCACCTCTGTGTGTCTCGGTCCTTCCCTACGCCAGCCCCTGCCTGTCTCCTCTCTTCCTGGGGCCTCTGGAAAGTGCAGCCTGGAACCCTTTTCTCCAAAGGATTGTTCTCTTCACAAAGGAGGAAACTTCCTGGCCTTATCAGATATCCCGCCTCTTACTGAAGCACAGACTGCAGTGAAAATTTATCCCACAATAACTAGTGCTGGAAGGTTACTGTGAGGTCACTGCAGCCATACCCCACCTGCCCCTGGCTGAGGGCGGGCTGGGAGCGCGCTCTGGATGGGACAGACTCAGGGACCACGCCAAGACCCTGCCCACAGCTGGCAGCCTTAACCACAAGTCCCCATGTCCCCCGCCATGCACTCTCTCCCACTTTCTGTTAACATTCTTTTCTGCCCAGAGCAGGAACACAGGGGACAGAGCTCTCATTCATGTTCAGCCATAACCTACCCTGGGCTGTGGGCTGTGTGTGTGTCTGGGGGGATGGCAGTCATCCCCCTTAGGGGTAGTTGTTCCACCACGCCTGGCCCAGGCCAGCTAGGAGCTGCGGTCCTTTCTCTAGGAAGAGGTAACAGCAGCAGGCATGGCTGCAGGCTCTCCACAAGCAAGGGGCGCTTTTATACACATGGCCGTTTACTCCTCCCAGCAATCTGCCCACTGAGGAGGAAGGAACTGCCAGCACCCTCATGGTAACAGGACACCAAGGTTCAGGGGGATCGTGTGGCTTCTCGGTTTTGGAGGGGGCTCTGCCTCCTAGGCAGTTTGCCTCCTGCCTCTGTCTCATCCGTCAGGCAGGGAGAGCAAGCTCTCGCAGGCTCAGATGCACCTCGACCACTTTCAAGTTGAGTCTAAGCAAGCTGCCACCCGCCTGCACCTGTTTCCTCGTCCGCACAATAGGAATAATCGCACCTTACTGCTCCCGGGAGCAAGTGAGTCAGCATTCATACAGCGCTTCCGAGCAGGGCCTGGGACGTAGAAACTGCTCTGCAAATGTCTTCTGCTGTAGTAATAATAGTTCCACCGCACATCACCCAGCCTTCCCAGATGCATCCCACAACAGTGTCTGCAAGGCCACCTGCCCCTCGCTGGACTCAGCAGGAGAAGCACCATTCAAGCTTAGCTGTGCTTCCCAGAGAATGTCCCCAAGGGCCCTGCAGGCATCTAGGGGCCTCCTGGAGGAGAAGTGGAATTGGGGATAAGGCAGGCATGGACAGCTCAGGGTGGGAAAGTCGCTGCTCCACTTGGGATCGGCTGGGGCTGCTCCCCAGGACAGCAGTGTAGGCAATGGCCCGAGAGGAGACAGAAGAGCCGGCCCCTGCGGGAATGAGCAGCAGGTTGCCCAAAAAGTCAAGACTGAACCCTGCCTCTGCGGGTTTCTGTGGACAAGCTTCCGAGCCTTGGGTTCCCGGTTGTAAAAGAAGGCTAGGGAGGTCCTGGCCTGAGGGGTTGCGGGGACAGAATGCAGCCCATGGGTGAGCACCTCATCAGCCCAGTCCTGGCCCGGGGCAGGGCTCGATAAGGGCGCGTTTCCTGTCTCGTTCCCTGCTCTAACCCCAGCTTACTCCTCCCAGTGTGGTCCCAGGTTTTCCTATTACCAGTATCCATCTTACAAACAAGAAAACTGAGGTTCCACAAGGTCACAGAGGAGGCTGACCACGCCTTTCCCATGGCCTCCAGCCCCGTGGAAGGAGACACTGCCCAGCAGTGGACAGAGCTTCAAGCCACTGGCAGGGCAGAGGGCCCGGAGGGCACGACAAGGGGACACCTCCTCCGCCCCCCAGCATGGGAGGCCAGAAGCAGGCTGCACCTGCCTCTGGGGCCACTTGCAGGTGGGAAGCAGGGACCTGCAGCAGGGAGTTGGCCGAGCGACCAGGTGGGAACCCGGGGAAGTGTGGGAGGCCGGGGTCGCCAAACGTGGGGGGAACGCTGTCAGCAGGATGGTACTGTGTGACCAGAAGGACGAGAGCCCCTTTGTCCTCATAAAAAAAAGCAGGATGTCAACTCTGCAGTTATCACACACATGAAAGTGCTAGCTCAAGCATCCCCCATCCCACAAGGCAGGCCTGAGAACAGCCACTATTTCAGCTGCATTTTTCATTGATAATATGACTTTGTTTTTCATGACCTTCGAGCCACCATCCAGAGGAAAGAATCACGTCCCTGTCCAGAAGGGAGAAAACACAGAGCTAGTCAGCAGCTGATGTGCAAACCCCAAGGCAGCGGGTGGGTCGCCACAGGGTCAGGACCTGGGAGGCTGCTGGGAAGCAGGACTCAGTGAGACACTCCAGCCGTGCGCGAAGAGCACCAGGGTCAGGGCAGCGAGCAGAGGGGGGTCTCCTCCAGGGCAAGACTCAGTTCAAAGGCCCTTGGGGGTCCTTCTCCAAGTGCAGCAGAGGGGTTCCATCCCTTGAGCCAACTCAGAGGGGCAGGGCAGGGTCGTGTGTGCCTATGCTAAGGACACGGAGGCCTGTCACATCCTGGTCCCCCGATCCTGAGCAGTGAACCATGTCTACACAGCCGGGCGGCAGGAGGTGCCACCCACACTCTGGTTCAGTCCCCACGTTACACTCAAGGAGACTGAGGCCATGGGAAGGATCTGCACAGGAGCCCACGTCTGTGGACGACACCTCAAGTCAGCCGCTACAGCTGCAAACACGCACACAGCCGTTCCTGGGCCTGCCCCTACCCTCCACCCGCCGCGGGTCCCATGCCGAGGGCTGAGCCGTCCCCACTCACCTGGAACCTGTGCACCAGCTCCAGGGACTGGCTGTCATTCTGGTCGGCTTCAAGGATGACATCGGTCAGCTTGTGGATGATGACGTCCAGGGGGCCCTGCTCCTCGATGGGCCGGCTGAGGTTCAGCTGCCGGGTGGGACACAGACAAAAGCAACAATTCAGCATGTGGGCCCACGGCCCTGGCACATCACCAGAGGACCCACGAGCCTCCATGTAGCACCAGGGGGGACAGAAGGCAGCTGACACACATGGGAAATACAGACAGGATGAACAGGATGAGCCCTCTCAGACCCTACAACTCATCTCTCCTGCTAAGTCCCCAGGGGCAGGCCCACGTTCATACTTCTGCTCCCAAGCCCCTTGCCACCCGGGACGCAGAAGACACACAAAAGGAGACAACCCATACAAGCGATGCTGAGAAATGACTTTATAGGGAAAGGATTTACTCAACATGTCCCATTTGCCCAATGACCTAGGGAAACTAGGGCTCAGAGAGGTTCAGTAAAATGACCAATGTCACACAGCCAGATCAGAACCGAGATCTACGCAGACGCTCTTTGCACTTAAGTGCAAAAAGTCTCAGCAAAGCTGTATCATTGGTGAATCTAAGGGTTGCTGCTTCGACAGACCAGCAGCTCGCACTTCATGGAAACCTGGGCTCGTCGGCACAGTACAGGGCTGCCTGTGATCTGCTAAGCACTGCTCCCCTGCGCCCGTGGGGGATGTGTTTATTTTTCCAAGAGCACAGGTTGGGAAGATCAGGCCGCCAGGGAGCCAGAGCCTCCGGCTGACAGTCAGTCAGCATCACCTGACCCCAAGGCAGGAGCACCTGCCAACAGCCGGGGCAGCATGACACCACGCTTCCTGACCCGCCAGATGTCTGCCGCCCGGCACACGGCCACCACCACCTGCCAGGCTAGTTCCTCAGAGGCAGTGGCGCCAGCCTGGCACCCGGCTGACCCCCTGCCACGGCCTCAGCAGAGGCAGGAGGAGGCTCGAGCCCCCTCCAAGTGGGGCTCCCTCCAGGACTCAAGGCTATTTCAAAGTCATTACTAAAGACATCACAATGACAGCTACAAATGACCACTTGAAGGAGGCACTGTGCTCAAAGCTTACATGTGTTTGTTTCATTTTATTTAACAACCAGGACAGGAGGTGATTTTACAGATGAGGAAAGTGGAAAACAAGAGACTTTTAAAACCTGTGAAGGATCTCACAGTGGGAAGGTGGTGGAGCTAGCACACGGACTCAGACCTGAAGCTGTGCCTGTCGTCCAGCCCTCCCTGCACCGCCTCCCCTTCTCTGCCCCGGGCCACATCGCCCCGCTGCCTTGTCCTCCGGTCGGGTCAGGCCAAGTGGAGGCCCCAGCAGAAGTTGGGAGAGGAAAAGAGAGGCCAGGGTGTGTGTCCCAACTGTTCTCACGCTCCCCCTCCGCCATCTCTACGGCTCCAGTTACGTTTTTGGTCCCCTTGTCCTCCCGGGCCTAGGGGTGGTGACAGCTCGCCGCACTTTTTGGCACCGGGGTACTTTGTCTCTTGCTGGCTCCTCAGGCCCTGCCCACACCCTGTACATTCCCTCGTTAAACTCTTCAGTGAAGTCTCTGGGGTGTGCCAGCCCTGTCCTGCCGATGTCTTTAACTCCTCTTTCTTATCGTCTGCTAGGCAAGATGTTAAGGGATTTCCCCTATAGAGACAAAAATCCCTTAGACCTCACAATAGGAAAATGCTAAAGCATGGTCTTCCCTCCCCATGGTGACTGGCTATGTACGAAACCAAACCAACCCAGGACCAGGCCAGCTGGGAAGCTGCTACCTCCTGGGGGTCCTGGACAAGGACAGGGACGGAGCACTTGCAAGGGTCTCCCGAGACCTGGGCCCTGTTCCTCCTCCAGGCAGGTCCAGGAGCTGGGGGTGACCCTCCCCCCTTCACAGACCAGGACACCGCCAGCCAGGAAGGAAAACGACCAAGCAAGGCCATGCCGTCAGGGGTCTCCCAGCTGGGGCCCAGACGGAAGCCATGTAGCAAGGCCTACGTGTCAGCCCCCTGCTGAGCCACCAGCTGACCTGGGCTCATCCTTCCCCTAGGCCTCAGTTTCCCCTCTGATAAAAAGAGGGAAATTGCAAGGGCCTCTCTGGCTCTATTCACAGATTCCACATTACATTCCCATCCAGCCCCTCTTCCCAGAAAAAGCTGAACTTGGAAGGAAGGGACAGATGCCAGCGGGAAGGGGTGACACGGAACAGCAGGCTCCCAAATGAAGCTGCACACGCCAGCCATTCATGCTGAAAGCCGGGACTCCCATGACAGGCTCCACAAGCAAGAGGCCGACGTTTTCACACCAAGACAGCCACGAAGGGAGGGAACTGAGGGACAGGGGCAATGCACCCTGCCACGGAAACCCACATCTCCAGGGAGCCCTCCGGGTCTCCCTGCAGTGACAGGGACAGAAATCAGCATGAGGAGCTGTGGGGCCCCTTAGGATTGGGGAAGGAGGTGGGCAGAGGGGATGCCCCCAGTGTCCTCGCCAGGCACTAAGCCTGAGGTCTGTAGCCTGACAACCGTGGGCTGTTTGGAAAATAAGCTCTGCTCGTCCCCAGCCGCTCTGCTGAAGGTAAACAGTGGAGTTCTGGAAACGGGCCACCTTCCTTTGTGTATTTTCCAGCATTTTTATGCCAGTAAAACCCTTTCGCGAGCACAGCAGCTTGGGTACACACCAGGCCCGGCTGCTCCCCGGCACAGCCGCCCCTCGCTGCAGCATTTGTGCCCGCTGAGAGTGGGGCTGCTGGTGGCTCTAAAGGTTCTTCTGACACCACTTTTTCTCAGGTCCTGAAGGGGCCAGTCCCCCTAAACTCACCTCAAAGGGGCCTCAGGCTCCCACTGGCTGTAAAGGAGGAGATGGGCCTCAGGTATGGCTCCCACAAGGGCATCACGGCAGAAAGGGCCCAGCTCCTGAGACAGGGGACCTGAGAGGAGGGGACTCTGCAGGAGAGGTGACACACGGAGGCAGTGGAGGGGGGAACACCACAGAGGCATGGTCTCCCAGATGGCATGGGGACAGGGCCTGGTGCATAAGTGAACTCATTTCAAGGTTGTCATTCTGTTTTTGAGACCACACTCCCATTCCCAGGGACTTCTTGAAGGGGTCTGATTTGTCCCTCTCAGCAGTAGCAAGGGTGTCTCAATGAAAGAGCCGCCCACTGTGGCCTGAGGAGGTCTGTGGGCGCTCTGTTTCCAAGTCACGCCATCCTGTGAGGCCCGTGCTGGATGCTGTGCTGCGCGGCGCTGCTCAGAGTTCAGAATTCAGAGAAAACAAGGGGCCACTGTTTCCCTCGGGGACTAAGGCAGCGAGGCTTACTGGAGTGGGGGCAGGGCTGCGAGGAGATGGGACAAAGGCCTGCAAACCCCAGTGGCCCAAGAGTCATCTTTGACTTCCAAAGCAATTAACCCAATCGTGCCCAGCACAGTAACCAAGCTGAGCTCAGCTCTGACACTATCCCCTCGCAGCACCTGGGAGGGTGTGGGCAAGGCCGACACGCCTGCAAGCCCCTCCCAGCTCAGCTGTTTCTGAGCTGGAGCAGGTCACTTAACTGTGCTGTGCCTCAGCTTCCCCATTCTTAAAATGAGGATGCTATTAACTCTCCCCTATACCTCCCAGGACTACTGTGAGTCCCAGCGCAGAAGTTCAATCCTTGTTCACACTTCTCAACTCGCCCCACCTGAATGTGGAGAAGTAATGGCTCCCTCAGCTCACCTATGTCCCCAGAACCCTCTGCACGTCCTTCCAGGATTGCACCGGAACTTGCAGTTATAAAGCCACTTCTTCCACCCACTGTCTCCACAGGACCTGGAGAAACTGTCCCCACCCCGTGTTGGGGGCTGCTCATCCTCGCCGGCCTTCGGAGTCCTCTGCTGCAGGGTGCGTGGTCCTGCGTGATTGTGGAGGCCCAGGGCTGCTGGACAAATCTACAACTCTCCCAATAGCCAGCACAGGCTGCACTTCTAGGCTCAAAAGCTGCAACTGAAGCCAGGGTGGGAGACAGACAGGTGTAAGGCCAGGACTGTGTGGCCACCACCCTCTCTGAACCTCAGTCTGCTCATCTTTAAAGCAAGAAGCCTCACTGTCCTAGCACTGACATGTAGCTCTTGCACACGCGCTCAGTGCCAGGCCCTGTTCTAAGCACGCTGCAAGGACGGATTCATTCAATTCTCACAACAGTCTGAGACAGGGACCAAGGAGGGAGGCACAGAGTGGCTAAATAACATGTTGGGGGCACCCAGCTCTGCATACCCTGCCGGTGAGTGCAGGCCACTCAATAAATGTCAGTTGTTATATTTCCCAGTATTTCCTGTTCACGTTATTACTGACCAGCAGAAACCTCCCTGACATTGTGTCAATGGCAGCACAAAGACAGGCCAGAATTTGAACTTTGCAAAACCTAGGTCACTTGTACTGGTTCATATTATACTCCTCAAGGTGTCTGCTGCCACACTAAAACTTACTGTCCTCATTAGAAATGATAATTGGTGTTTGCAAAGTTCTTTGGACCACATGCTATGCTAACAAGCACTGACCATATGGGGACACTCAGTCACAAAGAGGTTTAGTAACAAGCCCAAGGCCACGGAGTTACAGCTACAAGGAAATCTAGGTCTCTCTCCTGCCTGAAGCCTGACAATTAACTGTACACCAAAAGGCTGCTGTAGAGATGTGCCTGGGGCTTTCCTTCCATCCCCTTCTCCCTCAGTTCACCTTCATGAATCAAAGTTTTGTTGGCTGGGTGCGGTGGTTCACACCTGTAATCCCAGCACTTTGGGAGGCCAAGTGGAAGGATCACTTGAGGCCAGAAGTTTGAGACCAGCCTGGGCAATATAGTGAGACCCTGTCTCTACAAAAAATTTTCAAAATTAGCCGAGCATGGTAGCACACGCCTATAGTCCCAGCTACTTGGGGTGCTGAAGCAGGAGGATTGCTTGAGCCCAGGAGTCCAAGGTTGCAGTGAGCTACAGTGACACCACTGCATTCCGGCACGGGCGACAGAGGGAGATCCAGTCTTAAAAAAAAATAAAATAAAAAAGTTTTGTCCCAACCAAGGGTGAGACAAAATGGCCCAGAGGAAGGGCAAGAGG